TTGTCTTATAAAAAAGATCTTTCCTTGTGAACATATGTTACAATAGGAATTTAATACGTTTAACCCTTTTTTCTTTTCTTTTTAAATGTGGGTACGTTTCTATTACCATTATTGCCAATACTCTTAGTGTGATTGCTGTTAACATTATCGTAATTATTGATATTGCAATTAGATGATAAGTATAATGAAAATGAATGATTTATTTTTCTATTTCCCTGACGTTACCAATAATAGCTATACCAGTAATGAGAGAAATAATTGTATCATTAAGATAATAATGATAAAAGTAAAAATTATTGTTATTATTATAAAAGTTGTTAAGCCATCATGAACAGATCACTGCACTGGCAACTATCACGGGGCCCAAACCGAAAAAAAAGACAAAGAAGGGCGTGCCGAAGATAAACCCAACTGATGAAACCATTAACCAAAAAAAAAAAAAAAAAGAAAAAAAAAAGACTGAAAAACAACTAAACACAAATGAATATGGTTGGACTACACGGAGCCCAACTTCGAGCCACGGGGATTACTCTAGCCTGCCTTTTCCACCGGGAATTGGATGTGAAACAACAAACATGCAGAATTTATTGAGATTATGTTTGTGTCTCTCTGTGTAGAGAGAGAGATGAGAGAGACAAGTGGAGGGAGAGAGAAGAGAGAGAGAGAGAGAGAGAGAGAGAGAGAGAGAGAGAGAGAGAGAGAGAGAGAGAGAGAGAGGAGTGGGGTGAGCGAGGGAGAGAGAGAGAGAGAGAGAGAGAGAAGAGAGAGAGAGAAGAGAGAGAGAGAGAGAAGAGGGGGAGATGGAGAGAGAGACAGGGGGGGGGATAGAGTATTAGTAAGGGGAGATAGTGTATTAGTAAGAGAGTAAGAGAGAGAGAGAGAAGAGAGAGAGAGAGAGAGAGAGAGAGAGAGAGAGAGAGAGAGAGAGAGAGAGAGAGAGAGAGAGAGAGAGAGAAAGAGAGAGATTCATTTATGCACATACACATTTGTGCGTATACACTGTCCCTATATAGATGTTTGTTGAAATGTTGAAGAGCAAGAAAAAAATTACATTCCTGAAATCAAATCAAACCCAAATGATTCTATTGCATCACCAAATCAGTTTACAATCTTAACGTACAATACATCTTAATATTCAAGATGAAATAAACATAAAGTCGATCGTAGAATACCACATGTAAGATATCAAGTCCTACGATATTTGCTGCAAAAGGTAATGGTATATGTGAACAGATGTAAGTTCAGGAAAGGCCACGAGAGTACGCTCGTTCATATATGTATTTTAGGGAAAAAATACTGTGATACTATGAAATCGTTAATGTTTAGTGAAAACAATACAATTTTGCTTTTACAAAGCGTTTAAAAGCTGCATTAATTAAAAATATGACGCATACAGATGACCTACTAAATTATTATTTGTATATTTATGAATTTTATTGGTTACCGGAACAAAAGTCCACACATATAAGCTAAAACCATTTTTATATATTACACACACACACACACACACACACACACACACACACACACACACACACACAACACACACACACACACACACACACACACACACACACACACATATATATATATATATATATATATATTATATATATAATATATATATATATATATATATATATATATACGATTATAACAAACAAAAATTTGTAGTGAGTTGAAATAATCTAAATAACCCAATTATGCAACACGCCATTAGAAAGTAATATAAAGCCGGATTCTGGAGGAAAGTTACATATTTCTGATACCAGATCATTAGAGGGAAATGATATACATAAAGAGAAAGATAAGATTACTAATAATTAAAAACACATGCTAAGAAATATCCATATTCTTTACAGTCTAGGAATTCCCACAAATTGTTTATCAAAATGTTCAGGACTTGTTTACAAAAACTACAAGGCCTTCTAATCCGAAATAGATCCACCAGATGAAGCTGTAACTCTTCTGTTATTGGTAGGTCATCGAAGGCCTACAAACACACACACGCACGCCCACGCACACACACACACACACACACACACACACACACACACACACACACACACACACAACACACACACACCACACATACAATACATGATATTCCATAAAAATAGATTTTGTCCGTTCTGTATTCTAACACATACACACACACACAATCACACATACCCACACACATGTACGTATGTATTCATATGTGCACATGATATTACTTAATAATATAAGCTAAACTAATGATGATATGAAAACAGAGTTCGGTTTCATACTACATAAAGCTTTTCATTTAATTTTGACTTTTTACATATTGCATGTGGGTGTATTTCATAACAAGGTAGACTATAAGCATA